TCTGATCATAATTAAAGCTTTAATAAATCAATAGCATATAAAGCATATTTTCAAAGTTCTGACAAAGAATATGCCATTAATTTGGTATAGAATAGCCAAAGCTTCGTCATTTTTCTTCATTCAAATAACGATATTTTGTTCAATGCAAATTTTTTTTTTTTGCTCAGGGTGAATATTTACACACTCTCACAACGTTAAACATAAACTGACTTTATGTTTGTTTGTTTGTATGACAGTGTTTGTGAAAATAAGTCGGTCAATGTAGATTGATGTATATCAAACTTATTTTGCACGTCAAGCAACAACAACAACACCAAGAACAAGAACAACAATCAACAAAAGGGTTAGTGGAATCATTAGTAAAATAAACTGACAGAGCACATTTAATAAAACAAAAATAAACGACCTAAACCAACCATCCATCCATTCACTCACTCATTTGTTCATTCATTCACTCATTCACTACTCTCGCAAACTTTATCATCTCACGAATTTTACCTCATAAAAAAGAAAACGAAACAAAATTGCAACCATGGTTTTTTGGGTTGCTGCTAGAGGGGAAGGAAGGAAAGATAATGACAAAACATATGTACGTTATTGTTTAGCTTAAACAGCTGTTTTAGTTGAAGGAAAATAAAGAAAAAGCTTTTATGTTTAAACAAAAAGCTTTATTTGTTTTCGTTTTTTGTACTCTGGGGAGAGCTAAAAATTTTGAAAAAATCATGACCAAAGAGAGAGAGATAGTAGTGAATGTTGGACAGAAGGGTTTGCTGAGGCGTAAGAAGTGTAGGGAGTGACTAATATCAAGGCATATTTAAATTAACGAGTATTAACACTTCTAAAATGAACAAAAAATATAAAAAACATAAATAAACACAAAGACTGACAACTAAATAAAATAAAATCAATTGAAAACAAGTCCGAGAAGTGCAGCACTACTGGTATACAGTTAAACGAGGGTAACACTGAAAGGGTTTGTAAATTAACAGAGATTTAGATTTCTTATAATTTGAAGAGGAGATTCAGTTGATTTGTACTTTTTGCAAATGTTTTGCTATTAGATTAGTTCCATGTCAGTATAGATATCGCGCTGATGTCGCGCTGATGTCTGGTTTGATTTGATAACTACTGCTTAAACAAACTCTACCGGATCCCGTAATCATAAAATAGTTCGAGAATCTGTTATTGCAATCCCTAGGGTAAGACCCACATTGCATCAGGTTTGACAGTGCCTAAAAGTAGCGAAGTTTTTTAACTCACAATCTGCTACTACGGGAACCAAATGACCACAGGACGTGTCCTGTTCTGGTTAGAAACGGGAAGCCTTCGGGGAACAAGTAAAGGCTGTGAAACCTAAACCTCAAATCTTCACCTAAATGTTGCTTTTAAATAATTCTGGGACGTTGGTGGGGCACCCAGTGTTCCAAAAAGACCATCGTGTGGTTGAGTCCTTGCATGACCTCTTGTCGAAATGACGTTTAGTCCGAACTTTCAGTTATACTAGCTGTCAAGTCATTCGGATTTAACTGATTGTGATATTACCACTGAATAACCGAACCTGATTCTCGCCCCGGATAATTGGATTGCTGGTTTCTACATATACTATATGTTCCTTAACCACACTCTTGACATCTAAGCTGTCGTGGCCCTTTGAATATGAGGATTATATGAGGAATTAAAGCTTCCTTTTAACGATTTCTGTAGAAGTTGTCCCAAAGACAATGACACTCGGTTACATTCTCTATCTCCATTATGTCCATTTTGAAATTACATTTCATTATAAATGTTTCACGTTGTATGGGTTATATGTATACCGCACCAGGTCCTGTAATCCAGCTTGTTAAATCGAATCCTCAAGTCTCACTCAGTCATTTTCCACCGATATTCACAATCCCGATTCGTTTATTTCTATTCCAAATTTGTGCGATTCTCTATCAGTCCCCGATTTATAATTGTCCTGTGTAATGTGTCAAAGTATGACATCAGTCTTCAGAGCTATTGGATTGGAATTGGAATTATTGGATTATCTTTATAAAACTTTTACTATCACCCTCGCTTGATACTTAAAGATACTACGTATCTTTAAAATGCACAAGTTGAAGAGGTTGTTTTTAAAGATAAAAGAGCTTTTGCACGAAGTCGTGTTTTTCTTCTTCTTCTTCATCTGTTTCTGTATTTGTTTTCATTTTAAAATGTTTCTTTGTCTCTCCCGTAAAACCAGTTATGAAAGAACAACTTCACTGACTCTGTGTGGATACAACGACTGAAGGTTTATTGAATTTCACAATTATCTGTTAATTGGGCTACAATGTTAGTTATAAGGGGGCCTTTAAAGCAATGGATCCCGAAAAATTATATTATCGGATATCGTCAAGATGTTAAGTCCTAAAGTTAAGATTTAATACTAGTTTAAATCGAAAATTGAAGGAAATATTAATATTTTCCTACAAAATTATAAATTGTTTACAAGGAAATTCTTAACCCTCAATATCTGAAGGGAAAGAGATCTACAGAAAGTAATAGAGTGAAATATTGTGGAAAATTTTTTATTATTTAAAAGTATTTAAAATTTAATCTAAACAAAATTTTGACCTAATGCAAACATTTCAAAATTAAACATTTTTTAAATTACATTAAACTACTAATCGTTCTTCAATTTTTCTTAACCAAAATTATCACTATTACCGAATATCAATCAAATGAATACGCTATTATCTCAACAACTAAAACAATTTTTCTTAAAAACTTTTACTTTTGGCTAAATATAAATTCTATCTGGGCCAGTTCTATCTGTCTGTCAGTCTATGTTGGCTAAACAAAGGTCACAGCCAACGAACTCATGTAACACTAACCTCAATGAAAGAAATATTTACCAAAAATTTACAGCAGCAGCCGTGTGTTCGTCTCGACATAGAGAATAAAATAAATTAAATTATATATTATTTTTGGCTGCAAGGTCGTTGTCAACAACATTCTGTGCGTCGAAAACTAGAAAAGAACAGATATTTTAAAGATCAGCAAATCTTTTAGAAATTGTAATGCCTGTGTTGGTAATGTTTGCTGGCGTTGAAAAGTGTGTTTGTAGAAGGTGAGTTTGAGAGAAATTTGGAAGAGGGGAATAAAGGGCCTATTATACTTGATTAATGGTAAAAGCTTAGTTTATATCTGAAGCTAGTAATTTAGTTCGGAGTTTATTTGGTCCATTGTTCTAGTCTTGAAATTATTTCTTTCTAATGTCGGACATCATGTTATAACTGAAGGAAACAACTGGTACATCTAGAAAGTTTTATTATAAGACTTGCCCATAAAATAGTTCAATAGACTAGTCCATATAGAAGTCGAATACTTCATAGACTAGTCAATAGAGTAGCCAAGGGACTAGTCAATAGTCTAGTTCATAGACTAGTCAATACAGTAGCCATTGGACTAGCCAATAACATATTTAGTCCATAGAATTGTGCCTAGATTAGTCAATACAGTAGTCAATGAACTAGTCAATAGCCTAGTCCATAAAACTGTCCATAGACTGGTAAATGGATTAATCGATGGACTAGTTTGTACTCTATACGTCCAAAGACGATGCTTTAATCATGTTGTGGGAAAAAAGTCAATTAAATACACACTTCTTCTTGCAACATTGTACACGAAGATGTTACTGGTCGACGCCTCGAGTTCTCACGGCCATATCGTAAATTTCAGCCCGAAAAACGTGAAAGTATTAAGCAATAATATGCAGACCAAGCTAATCAGAGAATATTACCGAACCAGTCTTCTCTTCTTGGTATTTTGATTCCGAATACATTCCATGTCTGCAGAGCACAGTAGTTATTGCCGAATTTCTGTCAATGTTCCAGATATTCAAGTCCTTTTCTGATGAAGTCAAGGACAGAGCATTTTCGATATAATAGTCAATGTCTTAAGATGAAGTTTCGGATGTTTCTCACTATCTTATAGGCATTAAGTAATCTGATGCAGACTGAGCTCATCGGAGAAAACTCCAGAATTAATATCCGTTAAAGTTTTCGAACATTCTTCAGTTTAGATTCAAATCTTGTCGACCCGATGAACGGTATATTCAACCCTGTTTTGTCTTAAAGATTAGATGCATTAGATTAGAATTCTAATGCATTTGATTCCTTTTCTTAAAATCTGTTGTAAACACTTCGAATTTAATGTTTTAGGTTGCCACTAGAGTAAGTCGGGTGATAAAGCGTTTTATAACTCTGTTAAAGAAAGAATCCCCGTAGTAATTATTGCTTGATAAGTGATCTTTGAATGCTACGGTATTATTTATTAGACTCTGTGGTCTTAGATACCATTTGTTCCTTCTTGAAAATGCTGCGATATATTGCAGGATGAAACCTGAGAGTTCGTGACCACTCTGAATGTTCTAGGTTGTAGTTTTCTCTCGCGATAAAGCATTTTCTAACTCTTCCAAGGAGAGATTCACTGTATTTATTATCGCTTGAAAAATGACCTTAGAATGCTACAGCATTATCACTTCTTTCTTGTTAATTCAAGATGAAACATCAGAAGATAAGCTGCAGGATGAGTGTCTATTATTAGTTTCGTACAGTAAGAATTCTCGGTGACTTCAAGCCTCAAATGATATAATTAACCCCTCACCAAGTAATACGGGAACTGAACTTGTTATGTGATCTAAAAAAAACATCAAAATTATGACGTAGAGCTAAATACTCGTCGAATCAAATCAAATATATTTCTTGGAAAATAAACGATAAGGCCCTCTACATTATTTTCTTGTATCACCTCCTTGACGGCCCTGTCTCACCCATGTACGACACGACCTACACAAAACGCCAAAAAACAAAAAAACAAATACACACAACTTTTCGCCATGTGTTCTCAATAATACATTTCGGTTCAATTGTGCTCAATTCTATACTCTATAAACGTATGGAAGTGCGCATTTACAATATTTTCCGAGTAATAGATTCACTTAAAGCCCAACAAAATCTCACCAATAGAGCAGAGAAACAGAAACACTGTGCAGTAGAATAGAGCAGTATAACGTCGTAGAGTTAAACTCACTGACACTGGCAAATAACCAGACCAGACCGACCACTATCAAATCAAACTAACAACGAAATACACGTAGCAAACGTTTCATTTACAACGTACGGACGTAGTATCTAAAATATTTAGACACAATATACAACCAAAAAGCTAAACAAAAATTTTTGTTGTTTTTTTTTTCATTTGTATTGTTTTCTTTGTTTGAACAACAGAAAAAAATTAGATTTTTTTTCGTTTTATTTTAATAACAATTTGAAAAACTTTGAACATTTAGTGCGCAATTAAATGAAAGAAAAACTAAAAACTAAATAATAAATATATCGATGCAAAAGATTTTAATTGAAAATAATTTGAAAATCTCATAACAAAACAATAAAAGTGCAATTGAAATTGGAAAAAATTTTATGGGAATTACATCACTGCAGTGAACTGCAAAACGAAAGTGAGGAAAATAAGAAAAATCTGCAGCTATAGAAGGAAGAAGGTAGGAGGTAAGAAGCGTTAGTTAGTTAGCCAGCCAGCTGAACTAAAGTAAGAACAACGTAAATTTAAATAAACATCTTTACGAGTGCATGGGAGAACGAACGAACCACTGCAGTGACAAGTGAATGTGGGTTGAAGACACCCCTGAACGGAAATTTTAAATTTGTCATCACTAGAGCACAGCAGTGGCTGTGCTGTTCTGCATCATCTCCAGCAACAGCAGCAGTAGGAGTCTTGGAATAGTTGCTTCATCAGGGACCCCTTATAGAGTTCCAATAACTATTGCCTCATTGCTACTGCCTCTAGCACCCCGTTCTTTTGTGCTCTTCTAACGCATTTGTTAAAACGCATGCCACTGGCTTTTAAGCAACAACAACATCAAACCCAGTAACAGCAAAACAAAGAAAAAGCAAAACATAAACGTAAACAAAACGCAAAACAAATAAAAAATCTTGTGCAAAACTTTTGCCAACAAAAGCCTAGAAGAAAAACACGAAGCTTGGTAGCAAAACAAAGCAAAGCAGAGAATGTAATTGAAACCAATTATCGATTTTCCAGAGCATGTTTTCGCGAGTTAATCAAGCGTTTAACAAAGACATTGTTTCAATGTAAATATTATTTTGCAACAGAAGACGACATACAACTTGAAAAACAACAAGGAAATTATTATCAACTGGGTAATAAAAATCAATTAAACGGAAAACCATACATAAAACACTCGCCCACTAAGCCTTCTAAACGAAACGCAACTCCAAATCTAAAACACTAAGAACTCACAAAGCAATCAGCCAGCCAGCCAGCCATTCATTCATTTATTCATTGAGTGACAAGGATTTCCAGTAAAAATGCCGTCTTTATTAGAAGCTATAGAACGTAAATATTTCTCTGATTGTGATTTCGATGCGGAAGCCCATAAAGATATAACCTTAAGTGGCAAAGACAAAGACTCAACCTCTACATCCACATCACCCTCTTCGACATCGTCGTCCACTTCGGGTGAACGTTTAATTTCCATTTTTATACCAAGGCTGCCGCCTCTGTTGTGTGTGCCCGAGCTATTGGTGCTTAATGACTGTGACATAGATTGTGCTGGCGACTTTGACAGCATTAAAGACAAATGCAAACGTGTGCGTGAACTAGATTTGGCCCAGAATAAGTTACAGGACTGGCAAGAAGTCTTCCAGATTGTTGAACATATGCCACGCATAGAGTTTCTTAATTTGAGTAAGAATACCTTAACCAGACCTTTGTCCAAACTCTATATACCACCCATAACCAATCTGAAGGGTATAGTCTTGAATGGTACTTATCTCAATTGGGACAGTATTGACGTTTTGCTGGAGAATCTGCCCGTTTTGGAGGAACTACATTTAAGTTTAAACGACTATGAAGAGGTTTTATTAGATACTAATGATTTGCCTTCAGCACAAACTAACGCCGCCTGCTGTTGCCAGCTTAATGAGGAAGGCAAAGGCTGTGATACATTAAACTCTTGCTGCTGTTCGCCCACCATAAAAAAATACAAAAAGATTTCACCACACAAAGCCTTGAAAACGCTACATTTCACTGGTAATCCGGTGGAAAAGTGGCCGGAAATATGTCGTTTGGGTAGAATATTTCCACACATGGAAAATCTGGTGCTAGCCGATTGCCCCATAAGAGCTATAGAATTTAAGGACAACAACGCTGCTAACGCAAACAAAACACAAAATGATAATATAGAAACTACAGAAGATTCATCGCACTTAAATGAGGACTCGCCTCAGCGTCACTTTCCCAATTTGCTTTTCCTTAATCTCAGCTATGCCTCCATCAACACCTGGGATGATATAGATCGTTTGGCCACCTTTCCCAAATTGAAAAATTTACGTGTAAAAAATTGGCCACTTTGGGAACGTTTGGAGTGTACCGAACATGAAAGACGTCAATTACTGATAGCACGCTTGCCTAACGTTGCCATACTCAATGGTGGCGGTATTATCACTGCCGATGAACGTGAAGATGCCGAAAGAGCTTTTATACGCCACTACATGGACAAGCCGGAACATGAGAGGCCTTTGCGTTACAACGAACTGGTAGCTAAACATGGACAACTTGATCCCCTGGTCAATGTTAATCTAAAACCCGATAAACGCGTTAAAATCCTATTAACCTATAAAGATAAAACCGAATCTCGCCTGGTCGATATTTATCGCACCGTTGCTGATCTTAAGGTGAAATTGGAAAAAATTATAGGTCTGCCTGCCAATAAGATGCGTTTATACTATTTGGATCAGGACTACAAGGAGTTTGGTCCCGAAGAAATGCGCTTCCCCAATAAGTTATTATACAGTTACAACATACAAGCCGGTGATGAAATCATTGTCGATGTCAAGAAGTGAAAACTGTTCTTATGAAGTAAAATCTTTTTTAAACTTAATCTTACACAAACAAATATTAATGCTATAATTACACTTAATTAAATATTCTTCTAATAATACTTATGTATTCTATTCTGTAATGTACTCTTATGTATATTTTCTATAAACTACTTTAAGGTTTAATTTAAAAAAAAAATAACGTTTTATTTTCATATAAATATAACATGTGTGTAAATAATGTAACTAAACATTTAAATAAATAATAATAATGAAATGTAAATAAGTAAAAGGTTAAAATAATAATAACAATAAAGAGAAATACATACAGCAAAAATTAATTAACAAATAAAATGTCATGTTATACATATTGAGACAAGTATCAGATCCCCCTTATTGTTGTTTAAGCTGCTCTGTTGGTAGTCAAGGGTGATATGTTTAAACTAAATTTAAATTGAAATGGATTTTGTGTAGATTTGTTTAGTTTCTGGGTCAAAATAAGCAAACATTATAAAAAGGGATCAAATTTTTGCATTTGTGTTAGAGTAAAATATATTGTAATTTTATTCTTTCAATATCAAAAAAACTCATTCGATCCTGATTATATATGCTCGATCGTCTCTAGTCCGGTATAGTACTGTTCCACTTACTGACAAAGGTCCTAACAGAGCAATGCCACGTTAGCATCCCTATCAGAATTCTTAGACTGCGTTTATTCAGTTCTATAGTTCTATAGTATTTTGGTAGCCCCCATATCGAGTGTTGGCCATTAGGCCTTTTATATTTTGCAATCCAATCTACTATTCCAGGACTGGTTTTTTATGTCATGGATTTTTTCTTTCATTTACCATCCATTCCCTGTCATCTCCTTGAGAGTTCCTTTGAAACTTTTAAGTAGAATCCAGGATACTCCGTTTTGACAATACCACACCACTCGTTAGATGTGTCGTAGTATTAGATCCATTCGGTAGTTGTGAGATATCTTAATATATCGGTGAGCTTAGATTCTGATAATTCTCCGTGGTTTCATATGATGTAGTTGCCAAGAAATCTATTTATTTTGGCAACTATGGATGGGAATTCACAAAGAAGTTGGAAAGAAGCTGCCTCTTTTCCCTGTAACTCCGATATATCCTTCCTTTTGCGGGTTTCTCATTGAAGGAAATTCGCATTAATCTGACCACTCTGCATGTTTCCAGATTGTTCAAACTATTTTCAGCCTTTGAAAGAAGATAATACCTTTAATTGCTAGTTCGTCTGCATGTTATTACCATAGTGGTCTCTATGCGCAGAGGCCGAAACTAAGGTTATGTCACACAGACTACTCATCCTTGCCAAATCGTTCTTGCATTATTTAATGATAGAAGCGCCGCCTGACTGTCACTAAAAACTCCTATATTACCACGAATTTTGAGATCATATAGTGTCCTACGGTCTGTAATTATTGCTTTCCTAATTCGGACATCCTAGTATGAATTGATTTTCAAAACTGCTTTTTCGTGTACCTCTGTAAAGTGCTTTAGGTTTCCGGGTAGATCAGAGCAGTTCTAACAGAGAGAAGCATATATAGACGACATACTCGAGATGCTCTAATCTAGAATCCAAACACCACGATCTTCCGCAATAACGGGATTAATATACAATATTATACATATTAGTAATGCTGAACATGCTATAGGTATATTCGTATAGAGTTTTGTATTACTAAAAGCATTCAAACTCCGTTACGAGAGTTTATTGTGATCAGAAAGTTTTTGATTTTCTTCGTCTACGATTTTAGTAAATTTTTTGGTTTAAATTTTTCGAACTTATTATTTTTTTGAAATGGCGAATAAAATCTTCCACTGGATAACAAAATATAATTACTTCAACCACTTAAATGTTGATTTCGATCATAGAAAATTTAAACACTTTTAAGTTGACAACTCATAGCAGCAGTTGTTATTTAAATACATATGTATATAAAGTTTAAAATTACCGTTATTATAAAACAAAAAAGCTTTCAACAAATCGGCCTTTTTCAAATTGTTAAAACGAAAGCTTTTTTGTTGAGGCAAACATAAAGCTCTCTACTTTTACGTTCATATAAAACTAAAGAACTCAATTTTTTTTCTTTATCAATGACAATTCATTAATATTTCAGATACCACACACGTTACGTTTAAAAGGCAAAAGAAATGGATAATAAAACTAGGTAAACGATAATATTTTACACAATTTTGGCTTTGAAAATTTTAAAACTAATTCATGCTGTTTGTATAGCTAAAAATTCTGCTCCATTTTTTAAAAAAACATGCTAGTTTTTTAGTTAAAATTATTTTTTCTTATTAATTTTTGTAAATACCTATAGATTAAACTAAATGCGTAAATTAACATAGATACAAATTATAGAAAATGTAAATGAAAATGACTTGAAAAAAAATATTATAAACGAACAAAGATTTCAATTGTATTAAAGGTTAATTTTTTTCACTCGAGGTGACTTTGTCGCAACGAGTGTTACGCTTTAACGCTAACGCGCTGCAATTCTGTTTCTTTAGTTCATCGTGGTTTAATTATTGCCCTCTTTTATCAGTTTAATAAATTATAATTTATTAGATTTCTATTTTCAAATAAAATAAATAAAAACCAATTATTTAAAACAAATAAATTAATTTGTACTAATTAAGTATTAAAACAAATTTGAATATTCATATCGGTTGTTCCAGTCATTATTAAACAACTTTTATTGTTGGCACAAATATTAATTGAAGATCAGGGTAAGAATAAACAAATTGAAATTATATTGCCTTAAAGTGATTAAGATTAAAAAATGCAACGTTTTCCGAAAAGTATTGATCTTACCAGAAACCGATGAATCGCTAATGTTAGAAATCGTCAAAAGTTTCTTCTTGACCCATACAGAACCAAAACCTTCGAAAGATTAGTAAAAGCTTGGGTTTTTTGAAAATTCGAATTTTTAATGAAAAAATTGGATTGTTAGTGAAAAATTCTGATTTTCGAATTTTTAGTGAAAAATTCAGATTTTTTGTGAAAATTTTGATTTTTATTGAAATTAGGATTTTTAGTAAAAATTTAGATTTTAGTGAAATATTTGAATTTGTAGGGGAACAAATTGGATTTTTAGTGAAAATTTGTATTTTTGATGAAAAAAAAAACGGATATTTAGTGAAAATTAGAATCTTAGTGAAAATCGAATTTTGATTATTATGGAAATTCGGATTTTTGTGAAAATTTTGATTTTTATTGAAATTCCCGCTTTTTATATTAGACGATTTTCTTTAAAAACTTTCTTAAACTCTTTTCAATAGAAATTTTTCCCGCTAATAAAGAGTTTCTTTTCATAAATTTGGGAGTCTCTAGGATGACTATGCTATTCCTGTCTATTAAAACTGTTTTCAACTGAAATGATTCCGGCAAGTCAGGAGTTTAACAATCCCCTTCGAAGTACTTCTTTTCAGAATTTTAGGAGTCTCTGGGATCACTTTCCTATTCATAACCATTAATAAAGTTTCAACTGAAATGATATCTACCAGTCTGGAGCTTAACAGACCCCTTCGAAGTACTTCTTTCTATAGATTTAGGAATCTCTAGGCCTCCTGACCTCTGAAAATCGAATTTTTAGTGAAAATTTGGATTTTTAGTGAAAAATTCAGATTTTTTGTGAAAATTTTGATTATTATGGAAATTCGGATTTTTGTGAAAATTTTAATTTTGATGGAAATTCGGATTTTTAGTGAAATAATTGAATTTTTAGCGTAAAAATTGGAGCTATAGAGAAAAAATCGAATTTTAGTGAAAGTTTGGATTTTAGTGAAAATTTGGATTTTTAGTAAAAATTTTGATTTTTAGTGAAAATTTTGATTTTTAGTGAAAATTTTGATTTTTAGTGAAAAATTTGGATTTTTAGTAAAAATTTAGATTTTTAGTAAAAACTTAGATTTTTAGTAAAAACTGGACTTTCAGTAAAAATATTTTTGTTAGAGTAAAATCAGAATTTTGAGTGAAATTTTATGTTTTTAGTGAAAATTCGGATTTCTACTAAAAAGTCGAATTTTTAGTGAAAATTCGTATTTTTAATGAAAATTCCTATAGTTAGTGAAAAATTGGAATTTTGAGTGAAAATAAAATTTTGAGTAAAATATCGGATTTTTAGTGGAAATTCGTCAATTCGGTATCGAAAAGACGATAGTCGATTCTTTATTCTCAAACTGAACCTGCCTAGAACGACTTAAAAACCTGTGAGTTTAACGTTGAATGAATATTCTCGAATGTGAAAATCTTCATTAGATGCATTTAAGTCCCCACCTAATACTCAAATAAGAGCCAACCAATTGTTAACCCTGAGAACAGAGCCTACTTTTCAAAAAGTTAGATCTGCGCTGAATCCGAAACTGATAAGAAAGTGTTGAACATTTGAAGAATCTTCCTTTTTTGATCATAATTGAAGAATTCACCTTTATTTATAAAATTTGTCATGTCGTCTGAAAATCATTTCTATTGAGTTCAAAATTTAGATTTAACCTCAGTCATATCTATTTATATCTTTAAGATATTCTATCCTAAAGTTTAAGAGATCTCGGGTTTTCGCTATATTCTTCCAACTTTATGTTAAGGTATCCTGAAAACCTGATGTGATGGTTTTTTGGGAAACCCCGAGCAATAAAGGTAAATTTATATATTTTTCGGATAATCTGTTTTAAGTGAAGCAAATTCCAGCGAGAGTGTTCTGCCTTAATCGAAACAAATAGTAGTCAGACTTTCGAACTACTTATTTCTAAATAGTTTTCGTTTGCCTCTGATGGTATGATCAGATTTCAGCTGCTTATGATAGAACTTTATTTCGTTGTTGACCGATTTTAAACATTTTAAATAGCCAAAGCCAAAAATTCAAATATCATATCGGCAAATATCATCGATTTATATCGAATTTTACATTGACGGACGAGCGAAGAATGGACAGACATGTAGTGAAAAAACATAAAATTTTAAATTTTAAACATATTTTTGCCTATTTTTATCCCCAAACAATGCACCCACACACTTATTGCCAATTTCAAATAAATCATTTCAACCAAACATTTTTTCGAGAGTGTAAGCAATGAATCCGATCGTACTAGTGTAAAAAGAGTATAAATATGAACTAACTCTCTTTGATCGTGTCTAGTACATATTTATTTAGTTAGTAAGTGGGTAAGTAGTTTGTATTTGTTATTTTGTCTTACTGATAATAGAAGTGATTACGATGAATGCACGTTAATTTACAGCTGAAAACACTCTCAATTATGTTGACAATGTCAACAATACTCGTACGAATTTTTTTTAAGATTCGTGACAATTTTTTATAATGAATGATTATTTATAATTGTTTCTTTTAACAATTTATGAAGCAGGCAAATTTGTGTTTTAACATTTTTTAAATAGTTTTCGTCACAATCCTTATCAGAAAGTAATTTAAAACAGACACAAGAAGTTTATTAAAGAAATAAATAAAAACACGATCAGTTATTAAAGCAACTCACTAAGTAAACAGCGGTGTTTTTTTGCAAGAATCGTTTGTCAAAAAATAACAAATTATAAGGAAAATACCAATTAACACTTTTTCCCTTAATTGTCCCCTTAAACATCTGTATATACAAATCCAAAATTAACAAATATTATTGACGACAATGATTACTAATACATAGAGTGCTAGTGCTGATCGTTGTACTCCATTTTAATGGGTTTGGTTTTCGATTTGTGTTTTGACTATATAGTGTAGCTATATATATTTTATATTTGGTTTGAAATAATGTCATAAAAATAACGCATTTTATATGCGAGGTGTGTTGAATAGATATCGTCTTGAAATACTTTAGTTCAAAGAAAAATTTTACACGCGAAACACAACTGAAAAGGTTTTTTGTTATTAAACCGTTAATTAAAACGAAGAGTGTTAAATTGAAATTCAAATGCGTCAGACGTTTAGTCTTCGAGTAGCAATTAAATGAAAATTAATTGTGTGTCTTGTTAAAATTAAGAACGATCGTGTTAGAGAAACTTTTAACTATGGATCCCGATAATGATCCTATAATTTTCTATGAAAAAACCTTTAAACTTAGGCAAGTGCAAGAATGTAAATTATTAGAAACTAACAGTGATCATTTTACACTTCTTTTAAGATTTATAATAATTATTTTTTAAATTAATATATTTCAAAAGAAAGTGTTATTTAATATTATTCTAAAATTTCTTTACAGGACATGTAAGCTCATTTCAAGTCCACCTAATCGTTTAGCTCAACCGCGAATGTCACTACTGGGGAAGCCTATAAATTATAATCGCGGCAATCATCGCCGTGATGTACGGTATAGAAGACTTCAAAGTCGTGTTTATAATTTTCTGGAAAGACCGCGAGGTCTGCCAGCTATATTATATCATGTGGCCGTGTAAGTATTAATTTGTAACATTTCTTTTTAGAAAATATATTTTTAATTTTAATTTTATATCAATTAAAAGTTTGTAAGAAAAATATTTAATTATACATTTTAATTAACATGTTTATATTCCATGCATGTTTTATAAAATTTTCGTTCGCAATTAAATAAGTCATGGTTAAACAAGTGTTAATATTAAAAAAAAATAGTTAAAAAGTTTTTAATTAATACATACATATGTAGTTAACATATAGTACATATGATAGTTAGTCTAGATTGCAATCATAAGTCACACTTTATTTATTTTGAAATAAATATTTAAATGTTTAATTAAATTGTAAGAAAATAAAATTCTCAAAAAAAACGGCTTAAACTGCATATTTAAATGTATGTTGCTGCAACATTTCTATTGCAAACATATGATCGGAAAGCAGTTATGTCTACATGTTTCTGCAACATACTGCTAAGTTTCTTTTACCAACATGTTGTGACAAAATCATCTGTATTGACATGATGCTGTATTGTTGATATAAAAATGTTTCTGAAAAAAACTTGAAATTCTAGAAATTTGTAAACAATTGACATTTTGTCATATTTTTTTATCGAATTGTGTTTGAAAATTTATGTAGTTTCTGCTTGGTTATCTCTTTAAATGTTTAATAGAGCAGATTAAATATAAATACTCAAGTACTTATTATTTTTAATATCATTACTTAGATCTAGCCTATATAAAATCATTTCGATTAAAACGATTTTCAAAGTACTTGAAATACTCGTCAATATTATTTATTTACATGTGTTCGTTTACCTTGTCTAACTGACGTAATTAGTTGAAACACTAAATGTCATTATCTAGGAAAACTTTCGTAACCTTATAGGGCACCAAATATTATCTAAACACGACCCAACCTTTTGATAAGAAATCGTAAAATAGAGGTTCTCACACCCTCGATTGTAATAACAAGAAATGTTTTCCTCCCAAAAACTGTAATCTGCTTTTTATTTTATAATATTTTCTTTCTTAAAATCTTTTCAATTGAAATGTTTTCCGCTAATCGAGAGTTCGTTGGAGCTATTTCTTTTCATGAATTTGGGAGTCTCTAGGATTACTAAGCTATTCTTAACCATTAAAAATGTTCTCTACTGCACTGATTCCTGCAAGTCAGGAGTTTTCATAATTTTAGGAGTCTTTAGGATCACTTACATAGCTATTCCTGACCATTAAAATGTTTTTAACTGCAATGATTCCTGCGAGTCGGGAATTCAATAATCCCCTTCGAAGTATTTCTTTTTATAGATTAAGGAATATCTAGGACCTCCTGACCTCTTTTACTTTTCATTGTAAAGATTATACTTTTCAAAGATTTCACCCGACTGTTCTGTATTGGGCCATAATTTTGTCTGACTCAGATTCTATAACGATGAAGAACTCATTCTATGTTGACCTAATATGTCCAGTTGGTAATATGTTTTCATTCCAAATTCTATCGCGCCTATATTTGCCAGTAGAAACTTTCCTTCTCGTTCGTAGAAACTTCTCTTCTCGTAAGTTATAAAAGTGTGTTCGGACGATATTTTTATTCTTATGGAGCCATCAAGTACTTCCAGAGATTGATTAGATTCGTTGGAAGGGGCTGGTACTAAGTTAGTCCATACTATATGACATGTGACCAATCATATAATACCCAATAAGTATGCCCATTAGAAGTCTTATATCAAGGATCAAGAGTCAAGGTCCTTTAATATGAAAGCCAGAGCCTGTTGGATAATCTTTCGTCAAGCATTTGACTTTTAAAATATGCCAAAAGCTTCGTTGAAGAACGATTTGTTGAAAATTCAAATTTCCCGAATGCCCTAGTGTCCTGGAACCCATACTGTGGCAGTACCGTAAAAGAACCCTAAAAAACTCCAAGAGTAGTCACTTTTAAGATTATTTGAATCCCACACGATTCCAATTCAGGCCTTTTGTTTGTTAATCCTCGCCTTAGCTAATGGCATCCAACAAAAATACTATTATTTTCAATGTGTGAAAAAAAGCACTTTCTCAGTTGTGCTTTAAGTCTCGAATACTATTTTCCTTTTATTCAGAAAAACATATTCCAAAAACACATACTTATCAATAATTTTCCTTATTTTTAAACAGATTCCTAATGGTCTTTACCTGCCTTGTTTTAAGTGTATTCTCTACGATAGACGCGTATGAGAAAGAGGCACTGTATATATTATTTAGAATGGAAATATTAGTAGTTATTTGGTTCACAATGGAGTTTTTCATGCGGTAAGTATAAAAAGTTTAACAAAATTATATACATAAAGAGAAATCGCTTCAAAATATTACAAACTGAATCACATTAATTTATCAATAAAAGAGAAAATTAACCCATTTTTTAAACTTTTACTTTCAACAGGCTGTGGTCATCCGGTTGTCGGTCACGATACCAAGGATGCGTTGGTCGTTTTAAATTCGTAAAACGACCATTTTGTATTATAGGTAAATTCGAATATTATTACAAAAACGAATAGTATATTAATTTAAAACGCATATTCCTTTTACAGATATTATTACTATAGTTGCTTCCGTAGTTGTATTAGGCATGGGTACATCTGGCCAAGTATTTGCCACAAGTGCTTTAAGAGGTTTACGTTTTTTCCAAATCTTACGTATGGTACGTATGGATCGACGTGGTGGCACTTGGAAACTACTCGGCAGTGTAGTATACGCACACAGACAAGTGAGTAAAAATTTCTTAAAATTATAAAGGACTATTTGTAAATTTGTAATGCAATTTTTTTAGGAACTGATAACCACTATGTATATTGGATTCCTAGGCCTTATATTTGCATCATTCCTGGTGTACTTAATGGAGAAAGATGTTAATGAAAAATTTAGTAATTTTGCTCAAGCCCTGTGGTGGGGTGTGGTAAGTATTTGTTTTAATTAATCATAAATTTTGTTATCGGTTTTCTTTTTCAAAAAAAGTGATGTTATAATTTATTGGTGTGTTTGTTGTTTTGGATAAACTTCTCTAACTTATATCAATCATTATGACATTATTATCTTTATAAAAATTTCTTATCTTAAGTAAATAACTAATGTCATAGTTATACATATAATACTGTCATATTTTGACATGTTACAGATAAATAATTGATTATTTAAAATAATTTATTGAAATATTTTAAAGAGAGTAATGTTCACTTTAAAAGACGATATTTAGAAATGTTTAAAATAATAAATTATTTCAAGTTTATGTCTTACATAATAAGTAACTTCAAAGTCAAGGTTTTGAAAGATTGTAATAGTGCATATAGTAACACATTGCACCCCTCTCTATCTATCTATCTATCTATCTATCTATCTATCTATCTATCTATCTATCTATCTATCTATCTATCTATCTATCTATCCCTATCTATCTATCTATCTATCTATCTATCTATCTATCTATCTATCTATCTATCTATCTATCTATCTATCTATCTATCTATCTATCTATCTATCTATCTATCTATCTATCTATCTATCTATCTATCTATCTATCTATCTATCTATCTATCTATCTATCTATCTATCTATCTATCTATCTATCTATCTATCTATCTATCTATCTATCTATCTATCTATCTATCTATCTATCTATCTATCTATCTATCTATCTATCTATCTATCTATCTATCTATCTATCTATCTATCTATCTATCTATCTATCTATCTATCTATCTATCTATCTATCTATCTATCTATCTATCTATCTATCTATCTATCTATCTATCTATCTATCTATCTATCTATCTATCTATCTATCTATCTATCTATCTATCTATCTATCTATCTATCTATCTATCTATCTATCTATCTATCTATCTATCTATCTATCTATCTATCTATCTATCTATCTATCTATCTATCTATCTATCTATCTATCTATCTATCTATCTATCTATCTATCTATCTATCTATCTATCTATCTATCTATCTATCTATCTATCTATCTATCTATCTATCTATCTATCATTTAAAAAGATTCAAAATCATTCAAGTCATTCAAAATCATTCAAAATAATTCAAAATCATTCAAAATCACTCAAAATCATTCAAAATTAAACTCAGAAAGGATTGGTTTTTTATATGAGACCCTTGCTCTTGTCATGATAAAATTTTTTAAATTTCAAATGCTTCCGTTTTTTTTCTATTGAAGATATAACTATTTTAATATATTTTTTTAGATAACCCTCTGCACAGTAGGCTATGGCGATATGGTTCCTGAAACGTGGCAGGGTAAATTAATAGCCTCGTTTTGTGCATTATTAGGTATTTCATTTTTCGCCTTGCCAGCGGTAAGTAATACCAATCTTCCTAACTAATCCCTTAGTTAACATAAATCTTTAACCTATTCCTTTAACAGGGCATTTTGGGTAGCGGTTTTGCCTTAAAGGTCCAACAGCAACAGCGTCAAAAACATATGATAAGACGACGTCAACCCGCTGCCTCACTTATACAGGCCCTATGGCGTTGTTATGCAGCCGATGAGCATTCAAGATCTGTAGCAACCTGGAAAATACATCAAGTAGCTTTACCCAGTCCTCCTGCCTCGTAAGTTAACAATTATTGTTTTATAATATTTCTGACTTTTATATACATATCAACAATATTTTATGAGAATGTACTTAAAATATGTTTTGTTTTTTGTATGTTCAATGTTTAATCATTGTTAAAACGTCATTTAATTGTTGTACATACATATATTAATTAAAATCTATGATTTCTGTTTGCCTGAGATATATTTAACATCAGAGTTCGGACATTAATGAAAGATTGGAAATTGGATTGGAAATAATTTCCCACAATAAATGGGTGTTGTTTGGAAAATAACTTGTGAAAAGTGATTTATGATCAAGTTAAACCTTCAATGGGTTGAGGTTATGATAAAAAATAGATCCATTTCTATAACAACGTTTTTACCTAAAAATATTCTGGTCTCGGCATCGTTAAGAAGCTTTTACTCGTTTTCGAACCTAAGTGCGCAACCTCACACCCGTATAAGAACCAAATAAAACCATTCAGAGAGCTCATTTCTCACTATCTGACGATATCGGCTTCAAATGGATATACAAAAGTAAAAAATCATATTTTTTGAATTTGACTAACACACAAATAATTTCTTTTAAAATTTAACCTAAATCTAACAAAAAAATTGCCTCAAGCTTTTAATTAAGCCAAAGTTTTTTCCGAATTACAAAATCACTTTCAAAGTTATTATTCCAACAGATCAACGGGGACAAATCAATCCTTTGTTTCAGACAACAATAGAACTTAAAGTTCGTTTCTCCCATTACTCTGTCAAAGTCTTTATTTTACAGAGTTTGCTCATCCAACCAACATGCATGATGCATAATATAAAATCAGTCATTTTGAAATTGTTTGTTTTTTTATAAAATTGAACCAAAAAAATAATCGTTTACCCTTTTGGTTTTTCCGTATTTTCAGTTCTGAGTATTGGGATAGACTGTTTAAAAATTTAATTGAAACTAGGTAAACTACATTAAAACAAAAACCCATTCGCATTTTTTTCCAAAACTCAAAAAAAAAAATAAATCAATAATTACAGTATTTTTGAACACCACCGTATTTTGTCAGTCTTTTTCTCGCATTCACCTCTTTTTTGAAACTCTGTAATTTCTCATTTATATTTATAATATATATATACTTGCTAGCTTTCGACAAATTATTGAAAATCCACTAACAATTCCACAAAAAATAAAGTATTGACGTTTAAATAATTTGTTATAAATATGGAGTGGGTTTTAACAAAGTTATCAAATTTTATATAAATTTAATTGCTAAACAAAAAAGTATTTATTGAACACTACTACTTTCTACTACTATCTTACTATCCTTCCGGCTTAATGGTTTTGTTGTAATTTTTATTACACTTTTATGAAAGAAAAAAAAAAAATACACCAATATTACTCACTCGATATTATGCACCGGAAAAGGATTTTGAAAAAAAAAATTTAAGAACACATGCACCATGAAGAAAATTTAACTAAAGAAATCTAAAACACTATTCATACATTTCATTTAGTAGTTAGTTATAACCAAGCTTGGGCTATAAATTATTTAGTACTCAAGTTGTAATCAAGCTAATTATAAACCGGTTTTTACGATTCTCTGGGGAGTCTATTTATCACAATTCCTATTAGAAATCAAAAACCATGTAAATAATATTAAGGTTTATAGGTTTTAAATGAAAACCGATCAATCTATGGAATAACCTATGGACTTGACTATTGACCACTCTATTGACTAACCTATGGACTAGCTATGGAGTAGTCTATGTACTAGCCTATGGACTATCCTAAGGACTATTCTATAGACTAGTCTGTGGACTAATCAATAGAACAGTCTGTGGACTAATCTATAGACTATTCTATAGACTAATCTATGGACTACTCTGTGGACTAATCTATGGACTAGTCTATTAACTAATCTATAGACTAGTCTGTAGAATAATCTATAGGCTAGTCTATGGACTAATCTATATATAGACTAGTCTATAAACTAATTTGTATACTAGTCAAGGGATCAAGCTGTTGACTAATCTATCCTATGGACTAATCTATAGACTAGATTATGGATTAATCTATAGACTAGTCTATAGACTAATCTATAGGCTAGTCTATGGACTTATCTATAGACTAGTGTATGGACTAATCTATAGACTAGTATATGGACTAATATGCGGACTAGTCAATGGATCAATCTGTTGACTAATCTATGAGCTAGAATATTAATTATTCTATAGGCCAGTTTATTAACTATACCTAGCATAGTTTATTGAGTAGTATATTGACTTCACTATTGACTAGCCTATGGACTACGGACTATTCTATAGATTACAATGGACTAATCTATAGATTACTATTAACTAATCTATAGATTAGTATATGGACTAATCTGTAGACCAGTCTTTTGATCAGTCTGTTGACTAATTTATGAACTAAACTATTGACTAGTCTATAGACTATTCCTTGGACAAGCCTAAGGACTATTCTATAGACTAGTCTGTAGACTAATCTACAGACTAGTCTATGGACTAATCTATAGACTAGTCTGTAGACTAATCTATAGGCTAGTCTATGGACTAGTCTATAAACTAATTTGTACACTAGTCAATGGATCAAGCTGTTGACTAATCTACCATATGGAATATCCTATAGACTAGTATATGGACTAATCTATAGGCTATTCTATGGACTAATCCATAGACTAGTCTATGGTGTAATCTATAGACTAGTCTATGGTGTAATCTATAGACTAGTCTATGAACTAATATGTACACTAGTCAATGGATCAAGCTGTTGAGTAATCTATGAACTAGACTATTAACTATTCTATGGACCAGTTTATTAACTATTCCTAGCCTAGTTTATTGAGTAGTATATTGACTATACTATTGACTAGCCTATGGACTACTGACTATTCTATAGATTATAATCTATAGACTAATCTGTAGACCAGTCTATTGATCAGTTTGTTGACCAATTTATGAACTAGACTATTGACTACTCTATTGACTGTTCTTAACAATTCCATGGACTATTCCATATACTATTCTATGTACTAGCCTATGGACCACCATATAGACTAATCTATAGACTAGTCTATGGACTATTCAATTGATCAGTCTGTTGACTAATCTATGAACTAGAATATTGACTATTCTATGGACCAGTCTATTAAATATTCGATGGACTATTCATTGGACTAGTTTATTGTGTAGTATATTGACTAGTCTATGGACTATTAGCTAATCAATGGAATAGTCCATTGACAAGTCTAAGGACAATGATTGGATTTAGTAAAGACATCTAAAATTTGTTGGAAATATTATAGATGACATTTGCACTTCATTGATGCGAGTGGTTTTTATCATTCTTACTTGAAATCACACGCCATTACAGACCTTTGGGATGTTTATAGGAAAATCTAGGGGTCCGTGATCAGAAGTGTACGATGTGTAACAAACAATGTGATCCGAATTTTACATAACTGACTAAAAGAATGATATTTAACAAAGCTTTCTCCAAATCGCTAAACTTTATCTTATAAAGAAGGTTTTAGAAGTGGTTCTTTGGTTCAAAATCATCAAACATCATCTAACATTTTACAACTTAACAGACATTTTACCATTTGTAAAGCTTTTATTAAACTATAACATTATTGGATCTATTATACATGTCTAAGCTCAATAAATTTATGCATCGAAATTTTAAACTATTCTGCATATTATAAAAAAAAAGTTTCAATAAAAACTTTTTCAAAATAATATGCAGTATAGGTAGTAACAAAAGCTTAATGTATCAGAGTCAGCATCGGTAAACAATGGCTAAATTTGGTATAATTGGCATTTATTTTTGTAGTTTAGAAAGATTTTTGTTTAAGCTATCTGGGGTCTTTTTCTATAACTATATTTTATTTATGAATTACTATGTAATTGCTTGTGAAATACATACATATTTAGAAATTTAAGAGTCAAAACAAAAAGCTCCAAGATGAAATGATGTTTTTTTTTGTGATTTATTTAATTTAATTGGAGAAAAAGGAAACAAATTCATATTTAGAATATTATTCTCTATTGGGATCAAATTAAAGCATTTGCGATCGGTCTTATAGAAGTTAAACAAGTTCTAAGTTCTATTAAATTATCTTAAAAGTTAAAATTATTATTAAAATATCCAAGTGAAAACATCATCTAAATCTTTAGAGTCTTTTTTGTTTCTGACATTTATCATCTAAATTACTAATTATATCGAAACACAAATACCTACTAATTTAAACATTATTTAAAAACTTTCCTCCATTATTGCCATTTCGTAATGAACAAAAACATCCAAAATCGCAAACGAATCAAAAATACCCCCAAAAAAAACTCTATATCACACAATTCGCAGAAGAGCCTCATCTAGTTTTAAGCACAATGCATCGTTTGTGGCCCGCCTACCAACCATCAGACGTTCAAAAGCCCACACTATGCAATCGCCGGGCGGTGATGGCATCAAAACAGTCGCCACCAATCGCGTCTCAAGGTATACGCGCAACATACGTGAGATGAATCAATCGGTGGAAAATCTTGGTGAGTATAAATGTTAAAAGTTTTTATTCTTAAGGAATTTAGCGTACGTGCATGTTATTTTTCGATCTCGCTTACTTTCTTCTTTTTTAATTTAAACGCTTTAAATTTTTTTACCCAAAAAAAAAAAAAATACAAATAATATTAAAATATTTTTAAACGAAATTATAACATTTGTAAGCTCTACAGCCCAGTTTGCTGCAAAGCATTTTTTGTGTTTATTTTATATTGAAAGCGACAAATGATGTTAAATTTGAGAAATCCGACCAGTTTATATAGTAACATCGTCGAATATTGTTGTATATATATTTTTCTTTAATTGATTTTATTTATTGCAGTTACATTTTAATGCATAACTGGGTGTAGTAGCTATTAAAAAATAAGTTTTAATGTTTCATTTTCGTTAATTTTTATATTATATAAACTTGGCTCGATTAAGAGGGTATTGAAAAATTACTGTTGTCAGAAAAATACTTATTAATAACTTTATTATAGAGGCCAAAAATTTGTTACCCATAGACTAGAGTTTAGGTTTCTGAATCCAAATATAAGATTCGAAAAAAAACTTCCTGAAACCTGTTGTAATGGATAAGTTTTGAGGTCAGATTTTGATTTAAAGATTATCAGCAGATCACCGAATAGATTTTTTTATTATAGAAAAGAACCAAGAACAAATCAAGTCAATTTTAGATAACTTATTCTGAAGTCAAGCCCTTCTTTGACAAAGAACCCGTTCTGCATCGATCGAAACAAATAGTAGTCGAACGGGGCAAGGTCTGGACAAAAGTTCTAAACCATTTCATTCTAAATAGTTTTAAGCAGATATTGCAACATGTTAAGCTTTCATCTGACCTCATATTCTGGAAGCTTTTCAGTCAATTCTCGCTTTAAACGAATCAGTTACATTCGGTACTGTTTCTTAACCATTTCATTTTAAATAGTTTTAAGCAGATATTGCAACATTTTAACCTCATGCTTGCTTTAAACTAATCGATTACCTTCGGTACAGATTCCCTGTAATGATCTGGCCAGATTTCAGCATTTCATAATAGATAGGACCCTTTTGGACTCGCCAAATATACAAATTCCTCAACCATTTTATTCTAAATAGTTTTAAGCAGATATTGCAACATATTAACCTTTATGCTCGCTTTAAACAAATCGGTTACATTTGATACAGATTCCCTGTAGTGATCTGGCCAGATTTCAGCATCTCATAATAGATAGGACCCTTTTGGACTCACCAAATATACAAATTTATCAACCATTTTATTCTAAATAGTTTTAAGCTGATATTGCAACAGGTTACATTCGGTACAGGTTCCCTACAATGATCTGGCCAGATTTCAGCATCTCATAATAGATAGGACCCTTTTGGTCTAACCATATATAGAGCATTCCTTAGCTCCATGGATATTTAGGTTTGATTTGGAATCGTCTGATTGGCCGCAAGTGATGATGCTATAATGACATTCTTATAAGCCTTCAACCTACATTTCGGACACCCGAAATCGAAAGTTCTTTCGCTTGCAATGGTATCCAATTTCCCTGCTTTTGAATGAATCCTGCTACTCGCAAATGATTTGAAATAAAAGTTAAAAGCTCTCAAAAGCAACATTTCGGACATGCGAAATCGTACTTCAAGGTCTCTCGGTATCAATGCATATGATATCCAATTTCCCTGCTTTTGAATGAATCCTGCTGCTCGCAAATGTTTTGAAATTACTGCTTGAGTAGATCCCAATGATTTTGTAAGCTCTTGTTGTGTTTAACAATATCCTTCTCGGATTCTTGGTCTTCTAACTTCATGGAGTCTTGGTCTTCAAACGTTTTTGCCTGGCCTATGCGATTTTTACCTTCTGAACCGTTCAAAACATCTCACGCACGTTGAAACCGATGGAACACATTCACCTTAACTGCGGTGAGTAATCGGTATTCTTTAGCGACACTTTTTTTAATTAAAGAAGTAAAAAATGGGGCTTGTTACCCTTCAAAATATCATATAATCGAGTCCAATAGATACACCATCTCTTGTGAAGCCGACATTTTAAAGATATACGGCCAATAATTGCAGAAAGCTAATCAATCGGAACTGTTTTTGAAATTTAAAATGGAACATTCAAGTGACTGAATAATCTCGATATAGACGACAAACCCAAAAACTCTCATCTATTTGCGATAGAAAGTGAATATAAAAGTTTTAAATTTTAAGCAAACTAAACTAATTTTTAGACTTTTAAATATTAATATAAAATCACATTTTTAGAATCTCTAGGACCAAAAACTCAATCACTACATTATTAATCATTCATAATTCTTAATCGAGCCAAACTTTTATTTTGTTTGTTACTTTTGAAAACCCAATATATACTTGTATATAAAAACAAACAAATTCAATTAAATTAAATTATATATTTTTTTCCAATTATTAACGAATATAATATATATTACCCATATAAATATGAATATTATAAGATTAGGATGCCAACGGTATTGAATTACCACAGAACAACCACAATCACAACAGAGAAAGAGAGAGAGAGAGAGCAGGGGAATTTGTTTTTTACCTATTATAGGGCAACATACGGGATATTGCATGACATTTACAAAAAATATTTAATTAACCACAAAAAAACTATTAATAAAACATAAAACCAAACAAATCAAACAAAAAAATTCTTTATAGCGATTTGCACTTGTATTTGAATTAATTTTAATATTAAAAAAGAAAATTCAAACTTCAAAACCTCCTCCCCCCCTCCACTTATAGAGCTGCGCCTCTGAGGAATAAAATTTAAGGGGAATTATTTATGAATGTAAGTTTCTGTTGAAATTTCAAGATATTTTTTTCTGTTATCGTTTTCAATTTCTTTCCAAACATAATCAAAGTAATAAGTTTTCTTTATTTTAACTTTTCATTTTTAATTTTTTTTTTTTCTAATATGAATTTATGTATGAAATACTTTGTATTATTCTCTCACCGATTTTCACAGTAAATGTTGATTTTATATATATATATATATATTAACTATGTATACTATAATATACAATAAATAAAAAATATATATAGATTTCTTTATAACGAAAATATAAACCAATTACCAACACTAAATATAAAAAAATACTACTAAAAAGTTTTATAAAGTAAATGAAAAAAACAAAAATCAACCTTAAACTTTTTATAATAAATTCCCAAAATTTAAATGACAAAAATAATATAATAAAAAAACTACTACAATATATTTTTTTAAAAGTTTATGTTGTTGTTCAGTGTAACGCAGTTTATAAAGCATGTGAATTTCAAATAAATTTTTCATAATTTCGTTTTTTTTTTTTGTTATTTTGTTACATTTTAACAATCCACTGTTGTGTTTTCTTTAAAAATAAAAAATTATTGATGTCTTTTTTCTTATATTTCATTTTTCTAATTGTTATTTTTGAGTTTATTTTTTTAAACTTATATAACCAATTCATAATCGGCATCGTAACGTTGTATCGTTGTATGTCATAAGTTTTTTATTATAGGTTTGTTTTTGCAACAAAAATTAAATAATAATAAAGATATTATGACATACAACGCTATGACTTCGATTGTAAATTGGTCAATACTATTTATATAGCGTATAAAGTTACTATAAATATTTTGATTTTCTTAAGGTAGCGGGGATGCAACGATTTACTAGTATACATATGAGTATATTAAAGAGATTTTCGGAAGGTATGTAGCTTTAGAATAATTATGGACCGATGCTCGTACAAGTTTTACCACTACAAACAAGGAAATTTTTTATAAATAACTGAGTCGTTATTAGATTCTAAGTCTATGAAGTGATCTCCCTATGTTTGTCTGCACATTAGAGTCCGGAAAGAAAAAGCAAGGGAATTGAAATTTCCCACAAATATTCTCTACAGATAAGGTTTGTTTGGAATTCCAAATGGGAAATATCAGACCAGTACTAGTATAAATATGAGAATATTAAAGAGATTTTCGAAAGGTGCGAAGGTTTAGAATAGTTATGGACCTCGTACAATTTTTACCACTAATGAAATCGTTAAGCAAGGAAATATTTCTATTTTCATATATAAATGAGTCGTTATTAGATTCTAACATGATCCAATGATCTCCCTATGTTTGGCTGCACGTAAGGGTCCGGAAAGAAAAAGCCAGGGGGTTGAAATTTCCCACAAATATTCTCTGAAATTCGACATGAACAAGTTTTATAGGAAGCAAAATATATCTAACAAATTTTATCAGGATCGATCCATAATTGATCCTATTCTTACAAAAAATCAGTTTATTGGCAATAAATCATTCAAAAATTATAAAATGATAATCAAATTCGACTAAACTAATTCGTTTTAAGAATTAATCACTGTTTTAAATTCTTTAGACCCCGATTCAGCATTGACTCATTAAAGATCCTATTCCGAAAATCCTCATACATATTAATATCAATATATGATAATAGAATTTGAAAATCCTGATAGTAAATAACAAAAGTATCAATTCATAAAGACCTACATAAATCCATATACATTTATTGCCGCCTTCCGAAATTTTCTAAATTTACGACATATACTTAGTTTCTTTTATTCCCATTATTTAATTAACACCCGGCTATCTTCGCACTGGCTTATTTTGTTAGTTCAATTTTATATCTTGTGAGAAAAACTATGTAACACTCACCGTTGATCGAAATGGCATTACAGCAGTTCGATACTTTCGAACACAAAATTTTGAATAGAAAAAATAAACTTGTCATTATCAAAATATTATAAATAAACTGGACGTAATTTTTCTAACTCGAGCACACAAATCTGCGGAAATATTATAAATTTCCTGTTCAATGTTGACCTGAAGATCTTCTAGCATTGTTAACTTGCTTACAATTAATAGCGGAAAAGCTTAGACTTACTGCAAATAGAAGATGGGAGAATGAACCCACATGTACAGCGATCAAAAAGATTTGGACCTTCATGAATTCAAAAATATATAATATGAAATAGCTCCTATAACTGGTCATTGGCCAGTGAGCAGGATCTATAACGATGGCGAAGAAGAGGAAAAAACAAAACACCTTCTCTGACATTGTCCTGCTTTTGATGAATTCAGAATTAAAAATGTTGGCCATCGAGCGCTTGCAGACAATAACTGTCTGTCTGAATGTCGGATTTAGATAACATCTTCGCATTTATTAGAGCAACAAAATGGCTAGACTTTAACGATGACCCGATTGATTAGAAATAATTAAGGCATAAGACAAAATGGTCATAACGCGACATTGTTTGGACCCAAGTGAGCTATGCTAAAGGCGGCTATCACATTAACCTAACATAGCTTACTTACACAGACCTAAATCGTTGGTAACTCCAAAGAAAAAAGTCTATATAGTTTAAATCACATCTTGTTTTGACGCTTTCGTTAACTGAAATTGGCATACAGAGAAGTTTTATAATAAAATAGAAATTTAGATTACAAAATGCGAGCGTAACTGATCATGGACTCATATCTTGATTATCTTTTAATCATAGAAACTACACTGAGAAAATCGTTTCATTTACAATAAAAAACTGCAACTTAATTAACCGCAAAAAAGTTTTCGCAGTGCAAAATAACCAAAAATCGTTGCATCCCTAAAGCTATCAAATAATATTACGTTTTCAAGAAAAAAACGAAAACATATAGAACTTACATCTTTAAAAAATTAAGATTTTTAAACAAATAACTTCCTAAAAGCTGAATATTGTTTAAATGTTTTAAAGCAAAGAGATATTCTGATCAACATTTTGTTATGCAGCAAAATAATATATAAAATTATTGATATAAATCGTGATTCACGGTTAAATAACTCGGTTTGGACTGAGAAGTTTTAAACAGAGATGAAATTTAAAAATTGCTGTAATAATTTTTATTATTTCTTTATTTATGCCAAATACTTTTAAGTTTTTATTTTCTTTTCAACACAAATTAGAAATTTGTGGCTTCATCTCTGTTTTTAGTGGGAAACTAAGGGAAGGCATCCCTATGGGGAGGCCTCAAATTTAAATCGAATATATAAATGAAATTGTTAAAGAATCAAAATCTTTTGAATGACAAACCTTAAAACCTGATGTTACTTACACAAAACACTCTGTAACTGAGCTGACCTCCCACCTCGGGGGATACCTTCCTACCGTTTCAATACTCTACAAACTAAACTAAAAAGTATTTACTCAATAGTATTATATTTTTCTGTTGTTGTTTAGTCCTTATACTTTCTCTTTCTTCTACTACTTGTCTAACTGTGTGAATGTTTAAATGTTTTATAAATATTTGAGAGAAAGAGAGGAAAAAAACGAAAATGTCTAAATAAATGGGAGCTGCTTAGGCGTTTTTTTAGCAGAAAACACTCTACCGAAATACAAACAAAACGAATCTTTGCTAAAAATAGTTTTGGTTTTTTTTTTCGCCAAATTTATTGCATTTCAGAAGTGGTACAAAATGGACGATCGTTAAATCCGAGTTTTAGCGAAGACTCTGTCGCAGATACCACTTTATTGAAAAAGAATTCCGATGGTAAGTTTATGCACGCTCTATTACAAAAACAAACAAAAAATAAATAATCAAAAAAAATAAATACAAAGTTGTCAAATGGATGTTGTTTTAAATGTTGTATTCAGAATGTAAACGATAACCGATTAATAATACAATAATATTACTTAATAACTATTATCGATATTATAATAACGATTACGATAACGACGACAACAATTATCGGTGGATGTAATAATTTGCGTGTGTGTGTGTGTGCGTAGAAAGTTAGAAATCTTTTTAACGCATAAGTGCCTCTTATTTTGATTGTTGTTAGGACTTTCGCTTTTTATTTCTAAGGATCTGCTGTAAATTGTTTAGGTTTCGTTTTATAAATTTTATTTGTAGAGATATCGGGGTTTTATTTCTGAAACTAACTGTTATTTTTGGTTTGCCAATTGTTATATACTTTTATTAGGGCGTTTTTCTTTATTTGCTTTAAAGGTAATTTGTTTTCAGAATAAAGAATTCATAATAAAAAAATATTCCTCAATTGGGGACAAAGATACCATAGTTTACCAGCTGACAGTACTGGAACGAAGTACATACCGAAAGAATCGAACAAAAGTTATAAATCGTTGTCTGAAATACTTTAGTTTGAAGACTATTCCCGAATTGATGCTCTAAGTCGAGAGAAACGACAATGATACTGACGTCTATGAGGAAGTAATTGAACCGTATATTTTATTCTGGGAACATTTTACAGAAGATGGTTACGATTTCAGTAATATATTCCCCTTGTGTTAAATTCCTCTTATATTAAACAAAACTTTCTTAGGTTTGTTTTTGAAAACCCAACAAAAATATTTAATATTATTTTTGTTATAAAAAAATCTCTATAAGTTTTCTAAATCTTAATGTAAATGATGAAAAACATAAACAAAATAAAATGTTAACTGAACAACAATTCAAATTTTATGTATATTAGCAGCATTAAGTCCTCGCTTTTTGGGGCCACAGCGCAGACATAGTTCTGTATCGCTGGGAAATTTAACAAGTACTCGCAACGAAAGTTTACAACCAAGTCCCCTAACAATACAAGAGAATGAAGCGGTCATGAGTGAAGACTACAGTAGGAATACGGTTGTGAATTGCGAAAGCAGCAGCAATACGAACAGCGGTAATAATGGCAACAGATCTAAATTGATTTTCGGCAATGTTACCTCTATACCCATAGTACTCTGTGGCATGCTACAGAACGATATATTCGGTTCAAATTTTAATATGCCCACACGACCAAGTCCATCGATTTGTGATGACAATGCTAGACAACAGCAAGAGCAACAACAACAGCAACAACCCACAAGACGTAGAGCCTATTTTGATCCACAACAATTGGGTGAAGACAATGAAACCAATATTGATAATCCTACAGGTCACTTAGATGAAGGAAGTGCGTAAAAGATTCCTTTTAGAAACCTTTAAAAAACCAAAAAAAAGTGCAATTGCTAAATAATGTACACCACTCCACTTTGTCCTCAATATTTTTCCATACCATTGTAATTGAAATCCATGTAATATAAACGTAAAATGTTTTTATTATTATACTCTTTTGGAAACAGCTCTCGTGTCTCTTACTATTATTTAAAAAAAAAAACCTAAAACCAAATCAATTAAATTCAATGAAATGTCATTTATGTTGAGCAATCAAATCAACCAAACAACCAACCACACTATATATAACCCGGAGTCCAAATTCCTTATCCTTGATTCAAATGTATGCGTACAAATGTTTATAAACAAAAATATTAAAAAAAATAATAATAAAACTTTGGCATCGAATTTGTCTGCTTTTCAAGCTCATGTCAGTTAGTCAATCAGTTAGCTGGTATTAAAATGTATTTTTATGATGCTAAATGGCCCACAACCACCACCACCAACCACCAAAACCTCTATCACTTTTACACGCATAACACAACCTTACACTAACTTACACCGATTTTACGAATATCACATTCAAATAATCCAGGGTCTAAGCCTGTTTAAACTATTAGTAAAATAGTGGGGAATAATGAAACCCTGGAAGCGTATTTGAATCATATTCGTTAAAACACATCCAAATCTATCGCATGCACTTTATTTAAAAAATCTCCTTAAATAGTTTACGTAAATTAGCACCTACAATGGCACGTTCGGTATTTAGAATCCTTTAAGAAACATTTAATAATTGAAATTTTCGTAAAAATGTATGTTTTGAAAGATTTTCCTTTTTCACATTCAAACATACATTGTATTAGTAGTTATAGTTGAGCAGCAAGTACTCTATATATTGTAGCATTTATTCAGTCTGTCTCTTGTAACTTGTGTAATATATATATTTTAAAAGATTTTTTTCTTTGTATTATTTACTATTAATTTTTATTGAATGTGTCTGTTATCGTAGATTATTATTAAATGGATCTGAATGGTTTTTAGTTTTTTCTTTCTCTGTATTTTTCCCATAATTTCTAATGAACAAAATTGTCTATTTTGTGTTTGTATTTTCTTCAATTCAAAATAGATGAAGATGATGAGCCACGCTGCACTCAATTGACAAATCAGCACAAGACTGCCATAAGATTTATTAGAAAGGTAAGTGTGCTAAAAGCATTATAGCTAATATATACTTAATTAAGGTTTATTATCCCGTTGATCAAATATTTGGTAAATTAAACGTCTACTAGTTTGTGACCAGATTTTTTTTTAATCGGGGTTTGACTCAATTAAAAAAACTCTATTAATTTAGTAAAAATCCTTAATTTCTTAAAAAAAATTCACCTAAAAGAAATCTCTAGCTTCACGCAATTTCCTTTAATTTTGAACACGCAAATATGCACTCCAACCTACCGGCTTTATAATTTTATTTATTCTTTAACCTATAATAAACCGATAACCTCAAAGGTTAGAAAAATCAAGGAGCAATACTACTTCTAGGAATTCAACCCTTTAATAAATGGAACAATCAAATCGTGTGACCACAACATATCGTTCCGATCATCCTTCAAAATACTTATTGCAATAATTTCCAGTAAAAAGCCGGTTGGGTTTTAGTAAAGAATCTCTTATAGCTAAAAAAAAAACTGAGCTTTGAAGGCAAAATCTAGTGAAAATCGACCTTCTAATGAAACGATTTTTTAGTAAAAATCAAGTTTTTAGTGAAAAGTCGATTTTCTAGTGAAAAATCGTTTTTTTTTTAGTGAAAAAGTCGAGTTTCTAGTGAAAAGTCGAGTTTCTAGTGAAAAGTCGAGTTTCTAGTGAAAAAGTCGAGTTTCTAGTGAAAAAGTCGAGTTTCTAGTGAAAAGTCGAGCTTCTAGTGAAAAGTCGACTTTCTAGTGAAAACAACCATTTTCTAGTGAAAAAACGATTTTCTAGTGAAAAGTCGATTTTCTAGTGAAAAACGATTTTCTAGTGAAAAACGATTTTCTAGTGAAAAGTCGATTTTCTAGTGAAAATTCGATTTTCTAGTGAAAAGTCGATTTTCTAGTGAAAAGTCGATTTTCTAGTGAAAAGTCGATTTTCTAGTGAAAAGTCGATTTTCTAGTGAAAAGTCGATTTTCTAGTGAAAAGTCGATTTTCTAGTGAAAAGTCGATTTTCTAGTGAAAAGTCGATTTTCTAGTGAAAAGTCGATTTTCTAGTGAAAAGTCGATTTTCTAGTGAAATGTCGATTTTCTAGTGAAAAGTCGATTTTCTAGTGAAAAGTCGATTTTCTAGTGAAAAGTCGATTTTCTAGTGAAAAGACGATTCTTAAGTGAAAAGTTGATTTTTGAATGAAAAGTAAATTTTTATGAGAAAAGTCGATTTTTTAGTGAAAAGTCGATTTTATAGTAAAAAGTCGATTTTCTAGTGAAAAGTCGGTTTTTGAGTGAAAAAACGATTTTTTAGTGAAAACTCAATTTTCTAGTGAAAACTCGATTTCCTAGTGAAAACTCGATTTCCTAGTGAAAACTCGATTTCCTAGTGAAAACTCGATTTTCTAGTAAAAAATTATTTTCTAGTGAAAACTCGATTTTCAGGTGAAAAGCTGAGTTTCCATTGAAAAGTCGGTTTTCTAGTGAAAAGGCGGTTCTTAAGTGAAAAGTCGAAAAGTCGCCTATTTTTTGGTAAAAATACGATTTTCTAATAAATGCTCGATTCCTAATGAGAAGTCGTGTTTCTAGTAAAAATTCGATTCATAATACAAAATTCCATTTTTTATTAAGATCTTATTTTCTCGTGAAAATATCAATTCGCCACTTCAGAAATGAAATTTCAGCAGATAAATTAATGGAAATAAGCATTAGTTAAATAAACTGAACAGAGTTCCATTTATAAGCTATATTCCGGGAGCTAAATCGACTTTTGAGCAAATAAAGTTCACATAATAAAACAAATTTTATAATAAAACATTATAGGACCATAATAATGTAATGAATAGAAATGAAAATTATCAAACCCTTCTAGTTCATCACAAATAAATAATTAATTCGTAGTAAAACACACTCAAAAACCTAGTCCGAATTTAGTTGAAATATCATCAATCCCCGCTCCAGCCCAAAAAGCTTTATAGTAAATATTATACAATTTTCATAGATTTGTAAAATATAAACACTATTTTCAGTTAAAATACTTTGTTGCGCGGCGTAAATTTAAAGAAGCCCTCAAACCCTATGATGTTAAAGATGTTATGGAACAATATGCCGCTGGTCATGTGGATTTATTGGGACGTGTTAAAAATGTTCATGCCAGGTAAAGGAAATTCAAACTTTCACACATAAAAGTAATAAATTATTTAACGGCTTAATAAAATTCACAGATTAGATCAAATATTGGGAAAACAGGGTTCAAAATCAAAAGACGCTTATGCTTCTAAAATAAGCTTAGCATCAAGAGTGGTCAAAGTCGAAAGACAGGTAAGAAAATTGTAAAAGATATTTTAAAGTTTTTTCGTTACTAATCATAAAACTCTTAGGTGGCCGATATAGAAGAAAAATTAGATATTTTAATTAAAGCTTACATGGAGGACCGTCAACGGTTTCAAACTCTTCCCCCTAATCCTCAGGTCTCTAAACATTCCAACAACAATCACCTCCCTAATCATGGCCACTGTGGTCTTACTACCAGTAGTAATAATCAAACACTAGATTGGCAACATCGCACAGCGAAAACAAATGATGCTATAGTACCAGCAACAGCAGCGACGGCAGGAGCATCAGCAACAACATCATTAGATGCATCAACGACCACAGCTGGGCTGTGCCCCCCTAAGGGGACCAATGAATATACAAAGGTATTATTTTATTATTAAGAAAAGCTAAATTGATTCTATTAATCTGTTTGCATTTATTTACAGTCTTCCGATACCTGTTCATATCCTTTATCAGCCGATGTTAGACCGGCACGTGTTTATCAACAGCGTAGTAGTGATGGTTTCATAGCCGACATAGAAAGTAGAACAAAAAAGAGAGTAACTTTAAGGTAAGCAGTGATTTTCCATTTTCCTCGGGAATGAACGATTAAAAATAATCACTTTTTACAGATCAATATCACAACCATATGAAAAAGATATTCAAGTGGATGAAGTAGCGATAACAATACCAAATATTGAAACACAATCACTTGGCTCTAGTCCTCGGCAAAGGCCGGAAAGTTCTAGTAATTTATACAATACAAATTTTAATTAAAATGTATAAAATTAAAAATCTCTTTAAATTCACACTTCTTACAGTAATATTAATAGATGAATATGAAGATTTGGAAGAAGAAGATCTCAATTGCGAAGAAGAATTCGATCAATATCCATCATGGGAAATTGACAGTGATGCCGTAGTCGATGCAGATGCTGAAGGCGATTGTGATGAAACAACGGAAGATACCGCCTTATTACACCGACCAACACGTACTGCAATAGTTATTACACCTATTAGTCCCGTAAGTATTAATTTAATTGTTGTTTTAATTTATTATAATACTCATTCAATTTGTTATTTATTTTATAGGTAAGCTCCGCACATAATCTCCAAAGTATGGATGACCAAAATGCTCCTACAATCAATAAATCAAATTTACTATCGCCGGATTCCGGATAGCAATCGTAACATATGTATATTTTTTTATTATCGCTTACAAATTTATACTCTTGTGTTCAAACAAACAAACAAAAATAATAGATGCATAAAGAAAAACTAAACAAAAAGCTACATAAATTAATAATAAAAGCAAAATACAAGTATTTTCACCCAAATATAATTGTAGTTGAATAAATTTTATTTGGTATATGGGTAAGTAGGACTCCTATTGTGAATCAGAGGAGATTGAAATGCAATTTAAGTTTTACAAATAGATCATAGGCCTAGACTTGTTTAAGAAAAACTAGAGCTGAACTAGAATTGAACTGAACTAGAACTGAACTAGAATTGAACTGAACTAGAACTGAACTAGAACTGAACTAGAACTGAACTAGAACTGAACTAGAACTGAACTAGAACTGAACTAGAACTGAACTAGAACTGAACTAGAACTGAACTAGAACTGAACTAGAACTGAACTAGAACTGAACTAGAACTGAACTAGAACTGAACTAGAACTGAACTAGAACTGAACTAGAACTGAACTAGAACTGAATTAGAACTGAACTAAAACTGAACTAGAACTAAACTAGAACCAACATAAGTTCATTCCGGTTAATGAAACTAAATGTCACAATTATTTCAGAAAACTGCACCTCAATGTACTTTGAAATAGTGCTATTGTTCCTAGTTTAGATAGATCTTGTGTTCAGATTCCCCAAAAATGCAAAAGCAGATCCCCAGCCCATCAGTAGAAGTAACGCAAGTGGAGCTCAATGCAGTTTTGAAAATTGTTTAGTTTTTGTTGATACAACAACAAATGCAAAAGCATTACACAAAAATGGGAGACACCAGCAATGTTTGGCTCATTAACTACACACAATTGTATAATAGTAAATAAAACAGGAATACTATATTAAAGCAAACATATTAACAACATACCTGGTCTTCCGGTGCATTATCATGGTGTAGTTTCCGTTTAAGAGCTGCTCCAGACTTGCAACTGGAGTTTACTGCAACAAACACTTTTTTTCACTAAAATCGTTTTATTCCAAGAATTTGTTTATTTTTTAACTTTTTGCACAAGATTTTCTCATCGCATGACATTTTTAAACATTTGCACTTTAATTTAACACACATTTTTCAATTTTCTTCATTTTTATCACACAAATATAATTTTCTTAACAAAATTTTTGCTCTGTCACAAACTGTTTACAGTTATTTCCGTTTTGGCGCTCTGCTAGAGATGGTAAAGTCAATTTTATTTACACCGGCAGTGTTGTATTTAATAGTAGCAACAAAACTAGCAGTGCAAAGCTTTCTTAAAAAAGAAAGTTGTATCAAATTAATCCCGATTTTAAGCCGCCACTGAAATTTTTAATATTAGCCGCTAACGCCGTTCATATTTGTACGCGCAGATCTCCAATTCCAAGAGGAAAAAATTAGACTTTTGCAAATTTTTGTTATTTTAAGTGATTTAATTAATACAAAATAAAACGAATGTTTTACTTGGAGACTCCACCAATCCTCATAGCTATACCATAAGTTATAGTGCCTTAATAAAACGAAAAGCCAGAAACATCTAAGGGATTGGTAACAAAAACACAAGAAAAGATTTTTTCCGACAAGACGGCTCTGTCAAATAATGTTGACACATAAAAGTTGTCAAGGAGGACGCAAAAAAATGCAGGTTGGTAGAGGAGGTAGCTGTAAAAAAGAATTTTTATTCATGTCTTTTAAATTTGTTTTTTCTGGAAAAGGTCTCCTATGTTATACGAGATGCCGAAGAGAAACAACATCGAAATGGTGTCAATGCCATGCAATTGGATCCGAATAATGGTAAACTTTATTCGGCCGGCAGAGATGCCATAATACGTGTTTGGAACTCACGTTCGGAATCGAATGAAAAATATATACAATCAATGGAGCATCACAACGATTGGGTCAATGACATTGTATTGTGCTGTAATGGCAGAAATTGTAAGTTTTTGTTTGGCTGCAATTTGTGAGACTCGATAATTAAATAGTTTGTTTATTCCTCTGATCAGTAATTAGTGCTAGCTGTGATACTACTGTTAAAGTATGGAATGCCCATAAAGGATTCTGTATGTCCACTTTAAGAACACATCGTGATTATGTTCAAGCATTGGCCTATGCCAAGGATCGTGAACAAGTGGCCAGTGCCGGCTTAGATAAAGCCATCTTCCTGTGGGATGTTAACACCTTAACAGCATTAACTGCCAGCAACAACACAGTCACCAGTAAATATAAATATTTAAAGTTTTCATAGAGTTAACAATAATATTGTATTCACATTTTCTAGCCTCTAGTCTTAATGGTTCAAAAGATTCCATTTATAGTTTAGCCATGAATCCGGCCGGCACTGTTATTGTGAGTGGCTCAACAGAGAACATATTAAGAGTATGGGACCCCCGTACTTGTATACGCAATATGAAACTACGTGGTCACACGGAAAATGTGCGCGCTTTAGTAGTTTCACCCGATGGCAATCAGGTTGTGTCTGGCAGTTCAGATGGTACTATTAAAATATGGAATTTGGGTCAACAGCGTTGTGTACAAACTATCCATGTCCATAAGGAGGGTGTTTGGAGTCTGCTGATGACAGAAAATTTCCAATATATTATCTCGGGCAGTCGAGATCGTAATATTGTTTTAACAGAATTAAGAAATCCCAGCAACTCTATGGTGGTGTGTGAGGAAAAGGCTCCAGTATTAAGTTTGTGTTTTAATATTGACAAAACTGGTGTATGGGCCACAACTTGGAATTCGGATATACGTTGCTGGAAATTGCCACTATTCGATAAATGTACCTTGAATTCTAGCGGTGGTATGGATGCTCAATGGACAAGCACTGGAACTGAATTGGCCTGCATTAAAGGTAAAACTGATTAACCTCTCTGAAATTTAGATTTTTAAAAATCGTTCGTTTTATATTTTTAAGGTGGTGCTGCTATTAAGAAATGCAATGTTCTAAATGATAAACGTCATATTGTTACTCGAGATACGGAAGATAATGTAGCTATTTACGATGCTCTGAGAGTGGTTAAAAAGGAAGAATTGGGCAAAGTGGATTTCGAGGAAGAAATTAAGAAACGTAATAAACAAGTGTACATTCCCAACTGGTTCACAGTGGATTTGAAAACTGGCGTAAGTTAAAGAAATATTTGGATTTTTATCTAAAACCATGTATTTTATTCTCCTAGATGCCCACCATAGTTTTGGGTCAAGATGAAGTTGACTGCTTTTCCGCCTGGGTATCAATAGAAGCTGGTCTTCCTGAATGTTCAGAACCTCAATCCGAAATAAAAGTATAGCTTTAACATTATCAAAACCTTAACTACTTTGTTAAATATTTGCTCTAATTTAGATAAACTATGGCAAGTTATTGCTGGAAGCTTTATTGGAATATTGGACACCGCCACACAGTTTACCACCCAATGAAATGGAACAGGATATAAGAGGCAATGGATTTTTCCAAGTACCCAAGCATACACCAGTAATATTTAGGTATTTTAGTTTTACTTTAACCCAAGAAATCAAAAGTTATTAAGTATTTTTGTACTTTAGTGAGGTGGGTGGACGTACCGTATGCCGTTTATTGGTGCGGGATGCTGCTGGAGAGAGTGAAAGTACTTTACTGCACGAAACAGTGCCACAATGGGTTACAGATGTAGTAATTGAAAAAGCCACACCGAAATTCTTAAAAATACCCTTTTTCCTTACACCACATCCACAAATGGGCAAACCTGAGAGAACCAAAAAGGCAAGTAAACATTGATTTACTAAACTTTTAAAAACTAATTAATTTAGTATAAAACTTTAGGATCGTTTGGTGGCTAATGAATTTATACAATGTCGCAAAGTATGTGAACACGTTTTAGACAAAGTTTTGGGAGCCGAAACAACACCCAGTGGAGGCAATGCTTCCAGTTCATCACAAAACAGTCAAAGCGATGCCAATTCAGAGGGTTCACAAGTTCCTGCCGAGGACCGCATTGAGCTATGGTGCAATGATGTGGTAGGATATTTTAATTTATATAATTTTTATTGAGAACAACAACTAATTGTTTTTTATTTGTTTAAAGGTGGTAGACCCCAATATGGATCTACGTACGGTCAGGCACTTCATATGGAAACAGTCAACCGATCTCACATTCCAGTACAAAACAAAGCCAAATTTTTCATATGATGGAAAACTTTGAATACAAGTTTTAAAAATGTTTTGTAATTTTCACATAACAAAATTTCAACTAAATGATGAAGCACAAATCATATTAACAAGTTCTTTAAAACTGGTTCTTTTGATTTGTTAACACAGCAATCAATCGGATAAATGGTGTAAAAACAACAACTTTAAAAGCAAGCAAAAACGACAAGTTTAAACATGCCAAAATGTATATCAATCAATATTAAAGGATTTTATTTAGTTTGTTGTTAATCAAGAATTATCTTAAAATTAATTTATTTTTACTCCAAAGTATTCTTATGCATAAGGACTTGAATTAAAAACCAGAATGTTGTTTACAATTGCGGCATTTTTTACACTATATAAAATATTCGACTTTTCAGCAACAAACTAAATAAAATCTTATTGAGTAAAGAATAAAAAAAAGTACAGAAGTTGTTATCCAATTTTTAGCTATAATAATTAATAAAAATAAAGATACATATTCAAATATGATGATGAAATCAATGCCAATTACTCTAAATAAAGGCAAAACATAAAAATATGTAAATATCTAACTACTTAATTCTAATTTATTTTGTGTGTTTTTTTTTTCTATTGCAAACGCCTTTAAGGCAGGATTCCAAATTTTGTAATTTATGTCCCTAATAGCTGAGTTAAATGAAAACAAATTATTAGAATTATTTGTTTTAAAAACGTGCTTGCGAGAATTTTAAAATAAAACATTATTTTTAGTCAGAGAAAGTCGGTAGAAACTAAAATTAACGATTTTTCTGGAAATTATTAAAATTAAATGTTCCTTAAGTTGGATATTTTACTATCAAAAGATTCTTCATAAAAATTCATTCCTTAAGTGATAAAATATTTGTTAAAATTGTTATTTCAAATGCTTGAAAATTATCTGTATTTCTGTTTTAGGCATTCCAATTAAGGAATGAATAACCAATTCCCTAACTACACTACAGCTACCTTCCTCTTACCCCCATTGCCTGATGTTTTTCTATTAATTTCAATACATTACTCAAGTCACGTTTCAAAATATTTGGTATGTCTTCCCGTTCCAATACGACCCTTTGATTTCCATATATTTGTTTGGCATAATTCCACAGACTGGTATAACGTAATGAACGCACAGGCTGATGTATGGTTATCAATTTACGACAAGGTATCCATTGACAACGGTTCTGTGGATCACGTACCCTGTAAAGTTGTGGCCAAAATATATCTTGATGTTTTACCTGCATACGTTCGCCAGTCTGTGAGTCACGGAATATCCATGGGTGGGTTACAAAAGTGTTTGCCTTAATGCCTGCGCCCGGTTTAAGCATGGTAAAAAAGTCCTGGCGACCATTAAAGTCCATCCAGTACAAATTGACATAGCGCTGTGTGGAGTTGAGGAAAAATACGAATGTTTGTTCGAGGGAATTTTGAGCAGCCAACAGTGGTTGCTGCGGCTGATCGGTTGAGGGATGAGATACCTCAACAGCCATATTCGGATTATTAATTTTTTTTTTCACAATATGTTATTTATTATTATTATCACAATTTTAGTTAAATGAACGTAATAAACAAATTCTCTACAATTTACATTCGATGCACTGCAGCGTTGCCAGTTTGTAGACTTTGTATTATATTTAATGGATTATGGCCATTTAGAGGAGAAATATTTTTTTTTTGGGGCTAACGTTTGCGTATTATTTTATTACGTTCTGATAATATTATTTGATAAAAGATTTTATTTTATGAAATACTATTTATCTGTTTTCACTCTGAAACTTTATTTTAATTTATTAATTTTAATGTATTCAATTAATATACACTTCACGGAAATTTTGAACACGACTAAAACTTGACGACAACTGCTAACAAGTGTCAAATTTTGAATGATGCCAGATTGGTGTTATACCAATAATACACGCTAAGAAAATGTATGATAAAAGTAGAAAAAAACGCATTTGATTTTAAATTTTTAGAAATTCCAATTAAGCTGATTATACAACATGATAGTCCTTTGTCTTCTAACTAACTCAAAAAGTAGAAAAATTATCTGTTTTTTAGTGTTTTGATTAATAATTGGATACATCTGGATTATGGGTATCAATAAAAATATCTTTCAGTTGATGTACAATATGACATGTCTATTAATAACCCATTGCGAGCTGGGCTCAAACTTTATGTTTTTATATTGAAATTTTTTACAAATGCTCCGTTATATCAAAAATATATTGATACAACAGTACTTTATTTGACATCAAATCTTTAAACCTTTCAACTGATATATTATAATACATTTCTCGCTATTTTATCAAATATTTTTTCAAAAAAGTTTCGAATTATTTGACAAAATCGCATAATTATTATATAAACCATAAAAACTTTACAATAAGTTGACGTTTATTAGTTTAAACTCCGGTTAAAATTTGTAATAAGCCACAAACATTGTTGTTCAAAAAGTAGTATTTTATGCATTAAAATCAACCGCATGCATACAGTTGTTAGATTCACTCACAGTTTGTTTACACCTCTTTTGTCAGAAGAAATTAGCAAGAAAAATTTTTGCAACGATTATATTTTTACATCTTAAACTCAAGAAAACACTTGAAATAACAAACAAAAATAATAAAACCACTTCAAATATGGTCATAACATCCAATACTTTGCGTAGCCAATTGATGGCTTTGGTGAATTTCTCAGGAACACACAAAGAACAAGCCGACCGGTATAGACAATTGTTGGAAGTGGTACTCACCAATACCGGCAATGAATTGATCGATACTTTAAAACTATTTGTGGAAGCCATAGTCAATGAACATGTTAGTTTAGTTATATCGCGTCAAATTCTAAATGATGTTGGTATACAATTGAGTAAACTGCCGGATGAGGTGTCCAAGCAGGTGTCGCATTTCACTTTGGATAAGGTGCAGCCTAGGGTTATATCTTTCGAAGAACAAGTTGCTGGTATTCGCCAACATTTGGCTGACATTTACGAACGTAATCAGCAATGGCGTGATGCAGCCAATGTATTGGTGGGCATTCCTTTGGAAACGGGTCAAAAACAATATACCGTAGATTATAAGCTGGAGACTTATTTGAAGATAGCAAGACTGTATTTGGAAGAAAATGACTCGGTTCAGGCAGAGTTTTACATAAATCGTGCTTCGTTATTGCAGGCAGAGACACAAATTGAAGAATTACAGGTTTGTGTGGGAATAAAATAGAGGAAAATAGATTTTTTTAATAAAAAGTTATTTTTAGGTCCTGTATAAAGTCTGCTATGCCCGCGTTTTGGACTATCGCCGTAAATTTATTGAAGCCGCTCAACGTTACAACGAACTCTCCTATCGCACCATAGTGGATGAGGGTGAACGTATGACTGCCTTAAAAAAGGCTCTTATATGCACCGTTTTAGCCTCAGCTGGTCAACAACGTTCGCGTATGTTAGCCACTCTGTTTAAGGATGAACGTTGCCAACAATTACCGGCCTATTCGATTTTAGAGAAAATGTATTTGGATCGTATTATACGTCGTTCAGAATTGCAAGAATTTGAGGCTTTACTACAGCCTCATCAAAAAGCTGCCACTGTTGATGGTTCTTCTATTTTGGATCGTGCTGTGTTTGAGCATAATCTCTTATCGGCCAGCAAGTTGTATAATAATATTACTTTTATTGAATTGGGCGCTTTGTTAGAGATACCAGCTGCTAAAGCGGAAAATATTGCCTCACAAATGATTACCGAGGGTCGCATGAATGGTCATATCGATCAAATAAGTGGCATAGTACATTTTGAAAAACGTGAAGTCTTACCCTTGTGGGATCGTCAAATACAATCCTTGTGCTATCAGGTTAATTCGATTATTGAGAAAATAGCCGCTTCTGAACCCGAATGGATGTCACATACTTTGGATGAAATTAATTCTTAAGTTATAGAGCGTGACGTGGCCGTGAGCAGTTTGCATTGGAATACTTTTTTAAGCTGGCTTTTGTATGAGACACTTTTTTGTATTTAAAGGAGTGTTTTTTTTCTAATTTGTTAAATTATTTTCTTAAATTTTCTCAAATAAACTTATAAGGTTTTAAAAACTGCCGGGGTTTTTTGATTTTAAATTGGGAGTTTTACTTGGGGGGGGGGAGGTTTTGGAAATCCATCAAGTAAAAGGATAATTTCAGAAATCGGGTTTTCAGTGATATAATTTTTTTTCATATTTTTGTTTACAAGTTCCTATTTTTGATGAAAAATTTATATTTTTGATTGAAACCACATTTTTCCAAATTTTTTTTACAATATATTTCTATATTCTTCATATATTTTTTTATTTTTACAAAATTTATATTTTTTATACCTGAAAATATAAGATTTTTTTTATAAATTTTATCTTTTTTTTTGTTTGTTTAATATTACAGCTTAGCTTTCTACAATAAACTGTTATGTATAGACTAATGGAAAGTATTTTATACTCAATTGTACAACATATATATAATTATAAGGTAAATCATTTAAAAAAGATTCGATAGCGAAAACAAATGATAATATAAATTTAACTAAAGAAATTATTATATAATTAAAATTAAAAAAAATAATGTGCGTAAAATGTATTTAACCAACACCGACGATTTTAAACCAAAATAATATCGTCTTAATGTTTTTTTCTTTCTTTTTTTTCTTTTGATTTTCTTTTAAAGCATCTCAGAGTTCAGTTTAGCTTTCTTTACAAAATTCATTTAAATTCTAAAAGTGAGGAAAGGGGGGAAGGGTAAAAAGAAATAACAAATGCTTAGTAAAAAATTAATAATAATTATAAAAAATATCTTAAATATATATAATATAATCAAGAAAATTAGATTATAACAACAATTGAATGGTTCTACAAGAAATTTGTATTATTTAAAGTCATTTATATAGTTTGGTAAATTGATTGGTTGGTGGGTGGTGGTTCGATTGTTTGATGTAGTGTGTTTATGAGTCGTCATGCTTTTGGTTTGTTTTTTTAGAACGTAGGTTAAATATTTTTGTGTTAAAAAAAAATATTAACTACATAATAACAAAGTTAAAAAAAAAATAGTTAACAAAAACATAATTGTATTGGATAGAGAGGAGTGTAGAGAGTGTAATTAAATCTAATAATTATGATAATGATGATAGGAAAATAAAGGAGGTGTAGCTGTGGTTGTGGCGGATGATGATGATGACGACGACGAACTATATCATCCTTGATTATTTGAATTGCCAGCCTCTTCATTTAACTGTAATTGGGCCAAAGTACGTACGACAACACCACGATTCACAGGTGTTAGATTTTGACAAAGACCCACCACAGCATCCAAAGTAACATCGGGACAAACCTTGAAAGTGAATAGAAAAGTTAAGAATGATTATTGTTTTTATTGAAATTGACAGAATTTAAGCTGGAAAACTTACTTCTAGCATTTTTGTTATGCTGGATATAATGGCATCCTTGCGTACAGCATTAATGTTACGGGAGACAGTGGAATCGGGTTTATTTTGTTCCAAATACCAGTGTACCATATCCTCGTTCTTATCCCACATGTAGGACTGAAAATAGTTAATAAGAAAAATAAAGACATTAATAAAGGGATAATTTCACAAAATTGTAAAGAAAAAACACTCAGAAAAACTTAAATTATTGCAAAAAAACAAAAAATTTCATCAAAATACTAATACACACCTCTGTTGCACCCTTATCTTCGACCAACCAACGTCTCAACATTTCCTTAGCTTGACCCACCGACAAATTATCTTGTGCCTTAACAATCTTCTTAATGAAAGAGTCCTCTAGCAAGAGACGACGTAGACGCCAGTATAACCAAGCTCTCGATTCACGCCAGGGTACAATTTCACTAATACAATCCTTTTCTAACATACGTTCGGGTGTGTCATGCAAATCAGCAAAGTGTACAGCCACTGTGTGATAGACATGCACCAAAGCAGCAATACGTTCTTTGATTTTCTCATCAAATTGACCAGCCTTAGCCTTATCACCAGCTGCCAAAGCTTCATCCATTTGTTTTTTCAACTGAAATCGAAATTTTTATAAATTTTGAAAAGTTTTTCCAAAAATAAAAAAAACCTACCTCTATTGTAGTGGCATCTAAACGATGTATGGTCTTGACTAGATCCTTTTCTTTGTATTTAATTTCAACTATACCCTCAGGTTCCAAAACACCAGCTCTGGCTTCGGGATCAGCATAGGATTCCATATAGCGGGGATTAATTAGAGAATCTAAGACAGCCCAGGCACCACCACGCAACTCAGCATTGGGTGGTAAATAGATTAAAACTGGTTTTTTGTATTCACGTAAACCATCTACAATATAGGCACCAAATTTAACAATTTGTTCGTACATATCCTTCATGCCACCGGAGAAACCACGCCAGTTGGCGAATATCATCAAGGGCAATTCTTCGCGACCAAAATCTTTAATAGCTTGGGCAGTTTTGTAAGAAGAATCGGGATACCACACCTGACCAGCTTGTTGCAAAGTCTAAGGGCAAGACATCAAGTTTAAAAAAAGGAAACTATTTGTTTTAAATTCATTATAAATTTACCTTGGCTTCAGAATCTAAATTGGCAGGATCGGCAGGCATTTCAACTTCTACGGTACGTGTTTCTACGGCTATAACACCCACTGGTATACCACCCAAACGAGCACGTCCTGTAACCACAGTCTTAGCCCAGGGAGCCATAATTTCACTCCAGGAATCACGATCGAAGAAACCATTCTCCCAATCACTGGCATTGGCTAAAAGAAAACAAAATTATTATAATCCTTTAAATTTCACATTTTGTCAACAAAACTTACCAGGATTTATTCTACCAGCTAACATCCAACGTGGATCATAAG